CCCTTCTCCTCCCAGAAACACACCCTGCTCTCCTGCTCCTTCCAGAAACACAGCCTGCAGCTTCCGGACACACACCCTGCTCCTTCCAGACACACCCTGCTGCTCCCAGACACACACCCTGCTCCTTCCTGAAACACACCCTGCTCCTTCTGGACACACAGCCTGCTCCTTCCGGACACACAGCCTGCTCCTCCCGGACACACCCTGCTCCTCCCGCACACACACCCTGTTCCTTCCAGAAACACAGCCTGCTCTGTGCTCCTCCCAGAAACACACCCTGCACCCTGCTCCTTCCAGAAACACACCCTGCTCCTTCCAGACACAACCTGCTCTCCCTTCTCCTCCCAGAAACACACCCTGCTCTCCTGCTCCTTCCAGAAACACAGCCTGCTGCTCCCAGACACACACCCTGCAGCTTCCAAAAACACAGCCTGCTCTCTGCTCCTCCCAGACACACACCCTGCTCTCCCTTTCTCCTCCCAGAAACACACCCTGCTCCTTCCAGGAACACACCCTGCTCCTTCCAGACACACCCTGCTGCTCCCGGACACACACCCTGCTCCTCCCGGACACACACCCTGCTCTCCCTTTCTCCTCCCGGACATACACCCTGCTCCTTCCAGACACACACCCTGCAGCTCCCGGACACACACCCTGCAGCTTCCAGACACACAGCCTGCTCTCCTGCTCCTCCCAGAAACACCCTGCTCCTCCCAGAAACACACCCTGCTCCTCTCGGACACACACCCTGTTCCTTCCAGAAACACAGCCTGCTCTGTGCTCCTCCCAGAAACACACCTTGCTCCTTCCAGACACAACCTGCTCTCCCTTCTCCTCCCAGAAACACACCTTGCTCTCCTGCTCCTTCCAGAAACACAGCCTGCTGCTCCCAGATGCACACCCTGCTCCTCCCGGACACACACCCTGCTCCTCCCGGACACACACCCTGCTCTCCCTTTCTCCTCCCGGACACACACCCTGCTCCTTCCAGACACACACCCTGCAGCTTCCAAAAACACAGCCTGCTCTCTGCTCCTCCCAGAAACACACCCTGCTCCTTCCAGAAACACACCCTGCAGCTTCCAAAAACACAGCCTGCAGCTTCCAAAAACACAGCCTGCTCTCTGCTCCTCCCAGACACACCCTGCTCCTTCCAGAAACACACCCTGCTCCTCCCGGACACACCCCCTGTTCCTTCCAGACACACCCTGCTCCTTCCAGACACACCCTGCTCCTTCCAGACACACCCTGCAGCTTCTGGACACACACCCTGTAGCTTCCAAAACACAGCCTGCTCTCTGCTCCTCCCGGACACACACCCTGCTCCTCTCAGAAATACACCCTGCTCTCCTGCTCCTTCCAGACACACCCTGCTCCTCCCGGACACACAGCCTGCTCCNTTAATGGAATATTTTGAAGAAATTCTTACCTATGAGTGTGGGGAGGTCTTCAAACTCATTTAAGTTATCAGTATAAATTAATGAAAACAACAATATGCCTGTCTCTACAACTGTGTTGAAATACTTCAGGCAGAAATCCTTGTGATAATGTTCTGGAACCAAATTAGCCTCCAGAATGTGAGAGCTCAGCTCTAACACATTTGTGATATATTTGGCAGCTTTGCATAAACTATAATTGTCTTGTTCTGCATGTTTGGGGTATTTTTTCCCCAATGGAATGTGTCCTTTTGGTGGCAATATGAAGTGATCCATACATGAATTATTTGTGCGTGTTCCTGTGAGGAGACTCAGCCATTGAATGTGAGATGTTGGAGACTCACTTCCTTCCTTGCTGCAGGTTTAACCCTTGGGATTTTTCTTTCCAGTGTCATCCAACATGATTGAGCAGCCCCTGGTGGAAGCAGCAGTCCAGGAATGCAGCCGTGCCCCGGATGAGGCCATGTAGGGTGACATTACAAATGCTCTGGGCACTTGTGGCAGCTGCTGGCATTTCCCTGTTCCTCCTGGGGACAGGAGTGCCAGGCACTGTCTGCAGGCATTGCTCTCTTGTGCTTTTGCCTTTGCTCCAGTGGTGCCTCAGGTTTAACTTCTATATTTTCACATTCTGTGCTGCTTTAGTGTGTGGGTCTGGGCTCCATATGAGGGGATGGTGAGCTCTGTGCACAGAGCAGGGAGACAAAAACTCAGCCCTGGCACCCAGTGCCACATCCAGGCTTTGTTAAACACACCCTGGGATGGGGACTGCACCACCTCCATGGGCAGAACATTCCAGAACTTTGTCACCCTTTCTGTAAAAAACTTCTTCCTGATATCCAACCTGTATTTCCCTTCAGACAGGGATCCCCAGGAGAGGCTGAGGGNGTGGGTTTTGTTTTTCTTGTGGTTATTTTTTTGTGTTATTTTTTTAATTTAATTTTTGGTTTTGGCTTTTTTTTTTGTTGCAGTTTGTTAAGACCATTTTATCCCTGGTGTAATGCTCAAAACCAAGTGTTTGTGGGGTTTTTTTGTTGCAGTTTGTAAAAGGACCATTTTATCCCAGGTGTAATGCTTCAAACCAAATGTTTGTGTGTTTGGGGTTTTTTTGTTTTGGTTTTTTTTGTTGTTTTTTTTCTGTTTGTTTTTTTAATGTAATTTTTGTTTGGTTTTGTTTTTGGTTTTTTTTTGTTGCAGTTTGGGAGTAATGCTTAAAACCAAGTGTTTATTTGTTTTTTTTGGTTTTGTGTGGTTTTTTTTTGGGGGGGGGTGTTTTGTTTCAGTTTTTTTGTTTTGTTTTGTTTTTTTGGGGGGGGGGGTTGGGTTTTTTGGTTACAGTTTGTGAAGACCATTCTATCCCAGGGGTAAAATGCTTAAAACAAAGTGTTTGTGGGGTTTTTTGTTGCAGTTTGTGAAGACCATTTTATCCCAGGGGATAAACGCCTCATATATTTCTAACCAAATGTTTGTGTGTTTGTTTTTGGTTGCAGTTTGTGAAGACGATTTAATCTCAGGTGTAACGATTAAAATGAAATGTTTGTGTGTTTGTTTTTTGTTGCAGTTTGTGAAGACACAGGTGTAACGATTAAAACCAAATGTTTGTGTGTTTGTTGCAGTTTGTGAAGACCATCCTGTCACAAGTATAATGCTTATAACCAATAATGCTTATAATGTTTGTTGTTTGTGTTTTTTGTTGCAGTTTGTGAAGACCATCCTGTCCCAGATATAATGTTTATAACCAAATGTTTGTGTATTTTTTTTTTTTGGTTGCAGTTTGTGAAGACCATCCTGTGGCAGATACAATGCTTATAACCAATAATGCTTATAATGTTTGTGTGTGTGTTTTTGGTTGCAGTTTGTGAAGACGATTTAATCTCAGGTGTAACCATTAAAACAAAATGTTTGTGTGTTTGTTTTTGGTTGCAGTTTGTGAAGACCATCCTGTGGCAGATATAATGCTTATACCCATTAACACTTATAATTTTTGTGTGTTTGTTTTTTGGTTGCAGTTTGTGAAGACGATTCCATCCCAGGTTTAACGATTAAAATGAAATGTTTGTGTGTGTGTGTTTTTGGTTGCAGTTTGTGAAGACCATCCTGTCACAAGTATAATGCTTATAACCAATAATGCTTATAATGTTTGTGTGTTTGTGTTTTTTGTTGCAGTTTGTTAAGACCATCCTGTCCCAGATATAATGTTTATAACCAAATGTTTGTGTGTTTGTTTTTTTGGTTGCAGTTTGTGAAGACCATCCTGTCACAGATACAATGCTTATAACCAAATGTTTGTGGGGTTTTTTGTTGCAGTTTGTGAAGACCATTTTATCCCAGGGGATAAACACCTCATATATTTCTAACCAAATGTTTGTGTGTTTGTTTTTGGTTGCAGTTTGTGAAGACCATCCTGTTGCAGATATAATGCTTATAACCAAAAACACTTATAATGTTTGTGTGTGTGGTTTTGGTTGCAGTTTGTGAAGACCATCCTGTCCCAGATATAATGCTTATAACCAGTAATGTTTATAATGTTTGTGTGTTTGTTTTTGGTTGCAGTTTGTGAAGACCATCCTGTCGCAGATATAATGGTTTGGTTTATAACCAAATGTTTGTGTGTTTGTTTTTGCTGTTGCAATTTGTGAAGACGATTTAATCTCAGGTGTAACGATTAAAATGAAATATTTGTGTGTTTGTTTTTTGGTTGCAGTTTGTGAAGACCATCCTGTCGCAGATACAATGCTTATAACCAAATGTTTGTGAGGTTTTTTGTTGCAGTTTGTGAAGACCATTTTATCCCAGGGGATAAACGCCTCATATATTTCTAACCAAGTGTCTGTGTGTTTGTTTTTGCTGTT